AGTATCCTTTATTGCTTGCATATAACATAAAGGTAATGTCAGAATCAGAGCTTTCATTTAAACTCTTCCTCTCGCTTGTACTGTAGACTGGTCAGTGGCTCTCTGTCTGCTCCCACTCCGGATCTGTGATGTGTAAGCAGGTTCCCACACACAAGTCAGTGTAATCCTCTCTGCAGGGACTCTGTGTATCAGCAGAATCAAAGGTGTTTGAGGTTCGACTATTCCTGTAGCTTTAATTAAGAAGAGCTTTGAAAAAAGGCAAAGACGGAAACTTTTAACTCAGGATGTGAATTCTTCTTCGTTCAATGCACTTCTACTTCAAAAGATCACTGCCTGTTGAAGCATATATCAAAGACAGAGAGTGTCCCTTTAAGCAGCTGACCAATAACTGTCCAAATAGGTGGATGCTGTTAATTAGGGCAACGTCCGTATTACGTCTGATCGTGCGGTCAGATAATTGCTTAGTCATAGTATTGATATCGGTTAAGTATGACTTTTATTTAGGGCCCAATTGGTGAGTAATGAGCTCTGGACCACAACAGAAGTGACCCTGCAAGGTTTTATTTTTATTTTTATTTAATCTTTTTTTTTTTAAAATCACTAATAAATGTGAAACCGCTTTGCAGCCATAACAAACCACATATAATTTAATGAACATTTTATGGTTTGATTTATAATAATTTAGATCAGGGGTGTCAAACTCAACCAGTAAAAGGGCCATTTTATAAAATCTCAACAAATCCGTGGGCCACAGAACACCTGTTTTTGTTTTGTTTGGTTTTTTTTTGCGCTATAATCCGAGCTGACCATTGTTTATTCAAAATTCGCAAAAACTTCAAAAGTAAAATCTAGACACTTGTAGTAGACCTTCAAATATTACATGAATACTTGAAATATTCTAAATATAAATGTCCCCAGGAGCTCAGTCTTTTAAACCTACCTATTTGCTTGAACTAGACACCTGGAATCTTTTCTTTGCTGCAAGTTCATTAATACTTGGGCTTAATTTCTGAGCTGCTGAATAAACGTTAAGTGTATATTGTATATATTGTATTGCTGTTGCCGGAAGAAAACATTGTATCTCCAGAATGGTAACTTTACAAGAGAAGGAAAAAACCTGCTTTACTTTTAATGTAAGTCAATGGAACCAGACTTTTTTCCAAGTGATTTTGGGTCATTTCTTTTAGTCCATTCATCATGAAATGTACATACAATGTAAAGGACAACAGGCATATTCAAATTAAAAACTGAAAAATGACAAAAATGGAGATATGAGGTTTTCTTCAGACAACAGCGATATGTATGTAATGTATATAATATAGTGTATTGGTTGAACTGCAGCTGAAACTCAGCTAGTGTGTTTGGTGATATGACTGGTGTGGAATTGTGCAGAACTGTTTAGAACTGAGGTGAAACCACTGTCCCATAGATTGTTGTTGGGGTAGGACAGTTGGAGCGCACGTTACGTTGCGGTGCATGCTGGGGACTGTAGTGTAGTGCATTGTGAAACGGGCTAATAGTAATAGCAAATTGAAACACTTCTGCAGGCCGGAATAAGATTGTGTTTGACATAAGGAACCTAGATTTTGGATGTTAAAGGCAGGTGCGTGATACGGCATAAATCTGACTCACAACACTTCAAGACATTTTCATGATAAATGATATGTTTTTCTGAAGTTGGAATGAATAAAATGCACCAGCAAAAAAGCAGTGCTGCATTTAAAAAAGGCTACAAAATATAGTAAGTACACTCAATAAGGGTGAAAGGGAGAAGGAAGAATCTAGCAATTAAAAATTACGTGAATAAAATAGGATAATAACATAATAGGCTGATATTTGTTACCAAGCAGTTTATGCACTTACTTTTCTATGATCCATGCAGGTGTTCAGTGATCTAGAACTCCGATTCCCACCGAGGATGTTAATGGGGCAGCAGAAAAATCTCAGAAGTTGTATCTATACTTAGTTTTCATTTTGGCAGTTTATTAAATCTGCTTCAGCCATATCTAAGAACATTGTACTTGTTTAAAAGTGGTATATGTTATTAAACGCTGTTCAAATTAAATACATTCTAACCCGTCACAATTCACAGCCCACTAAAAGTTATCTATCTCATAGAACAGTGCCATTTCTTTATAAGCAGGTCAGTGATAGCTTGCAAAATGGACAGGGTTTGGTAAGACATGGTCATTATGATCATATCAGTCAACAAAGTGTTGTGTAACTGAACCTGTTGGAGGATAAACTTTAAATCTAAAATATAAATATTAAATGAAATCAGACAATTTTATTTGTTATCAGAATTTTAAGCTCTTTAAAGTGCCCATATTATGGAACACCAAAGCCTCCTCAGTTTTACAAAGTAGTGTAAGTACATAGGTGTATATATAAATAATCGTTGTTAAAGTTTTAAAAATGTGCTGTTCATTCCTCGGTCCATGAAGTCCACATATACAAACAAAGCTGCCAAAACAGCCTGTTTTGAATTCACTTTTTTTGTGATGTCATAAAAACCAACACATCTACACATTTTTAAATGAAGCACTGTACAGGGCAGCCAATCAGAACGAAGATCATTTACATATATCAGTCTTGAAGGGACAGTAACAAAAACAGCTGGTTTAATTTTAATAGATGAACAGTTGGAAAACAGACATGTAAAAAATTTGAATTGTTGGTACATAAAACCACACAAATAAGTCCTCTGGGAGGCAAAAAAAAAACAAAAATGTAGAGTATGGACCTTTTAAAATTGGTGTCAGCACTGGCCACAAAATGGTCATATTGGTTGAACCCTAATACCAACATGTAAGCATTGATTATGGGCATGGCTTTAGAACTGTGATATCAGTTCAACCCTAAAGCCAGCATCGTGTGGTTGTTTGTGGTGAGCAGTGGAGCTTTCCCATTCATGAAGACTGCCTCCCACAGCAAGGGCAGTGCGAGACATACAGGATTCAGAAACCACAGAGCCGTGGGGTCAGTCATGGATAAATGCTTTGACCCCTCTACCATCCATCAGCCTGTTCTCCGTGCTGGGACGCCGGAGCTTCTCTCCTTTCTGCTCTGCTCCCAAAGCCTGTCCATGGCTTGCGTGACCATGGCGAACGTTTTAGGGATTTTTTTCCGACCTTTTCTTCTCCGGGCCCTCTTTTGTAACATCTTTGCCCTTTTAAACTGTAACACCACCATCATTGAGAAATAGTTTGAAATAGGCGGGACAGCACTTGGCAGAGGCAGCCAAGCCCTCCACCTTCCACTTTAGTCACAATACAAAATGCTGCTTCAGATTTGGCGCCGCACAGAGCCTGTTAATGATTCTCTCAATCAGGAAGTTAATTTTTGGCTTGTTGCTAAAGTCGATGTCCTTTTCCCTCCCTCTCGTCCCATTCAAACGGACAGCTTGTCCATTTAAGAGCGTGAAAACAACAACAAAAATACAAGAGGCATAGAGGGAAGGGGAGGGGTGGGTAGATGGGGGAGAAGGGGAAACAAAATCATTAGAACACACAGCCGCCCTTAAATTTTAATTAGTTTTAAAAGTAATTGCTTGAAATGATTAGTTGAATTCGGTCAGTCTTCCTGTTACTTAAAATTAAAAATATAATTGCCACGGACAGTAATTGGCTAGCCCGGGACTGTTGGTTATTGTAGTCCAGTATCGCCCCATGCATCATTATCTGACTTTGGCAGCGCTTCAGCTCCTGAACTGCAGCGAGCATACAAAAACACAAACACACACACACGCAATGCTCTGTTCGCCAGTGCCAGATCGCAATCAGCGGCCTGCTTGAATGCCTGGTAGAAAGGATCTAAGCTGTTTTCCATTTGCCCTCTTCAACCTCTTTGATTCTCCCATGGGCCAGCACGGAACTGCATGGCCCCGCAGAAGCACGACCCGCGCTAACGGAAGGCCACTGCGCAGCCCTCAGGAGCCGAATCACTCTCCGCTATAAGAGCATATCCAAACCAACAGGAGCATCAAAACACCCTACGCTGGTCAGAGAACATTCCTCTGAGCTAGCTGCTGCTGCATAATCTTTTTAGTCAAAGCCATGACATAATGCATAGGCTCAATTTGTCATATTTTGGGTTGCAGAGTGGAGATGATGTCTGCAGTGTTTTTGGCTGGAGGTGAGGGCTGGCCTCTGGCCTTTTGACCAGGCTGCACTCGTCTCGGGGCACATACTGTCCTGTGATTTTTCTTTCTTTATTTATTTCTCTCTGCCTTTTGTATCTGTCTGCTCTTCTCTGCCTCCTGCGGTCAGTTGTCCAGAGTAAATGCACATTATGAGGTGATTTACAGCAGTGGTTCCTGGCCCTCGTTCTGGTGTAACTCTGCTGCACATTTTAGTGTTTTCCCCCCACTTTGACTCAGAAAGGGCTTCTTAATTAGCCGATTAGTTGGATCAGGTGGGTTAAAGCAGGAAAACGCCAAAATATGCAGAGCAGGCAGTGACAGTACTAGAGTTATGAACCACTGCTCTATAAATAGCTCTGAGCGCCGGATGTGATGATGCATTTTGCAGTTTTTTCCGGATTAGAGATGGGTGGCACAATAGTAACAAGGTATACTGCTGTATTTAAAAGTGATGACAGTATTTTTAAATTCTGACGTCCCAAATTTCTATTCCACTTCTGAACAGCCAAATAAACACATTAAACCCATTTATATTTCAGAGGGGTCATTGAGGGGTGCTGTGCCAAAAGTTTGCCAAAAAGTTCCAGTTGCTGGGATACAACTGATCCACCGTTTTGGTCCCACACATCACAGATTCAGGTTCTGTCCTCCCTGACCATTTAGCTAACATGTATCCTCTGTGATCAGTGAGGATGCTCACAGCACACAGTATTGTCACACAAGTTTGTGACTCGTTAGAGTTCATTTGCTTGTTGTAACTTTCTGCAGTATTAATATTGTGATGATACTGTGCACCCGTGTGCATCCACTGTGAATGATTATTTTTGTCGCTCACCTGGCACTTTGTTTTGATTGTTAGTTTCACCCAGACAAACAGAAGCCTGGCTTGTCAGAGGAGGAGGCAGATCTGCACCTGAAGAGGTTCATAGATGTGGACCAGGCGTGGAAGGTGTTAAGCAATGAGGAGAGCAGGAAGAAGTTTGACCTGCAGCTGCGTGGTAGGTACTTTCTCCTACAAACGACGCTTCCATTTCTTCTTGCTTGTTTTTGTGCAGAAGTCAGTCCCAATTTAATCCATAAGAAACACACTGCTGATCGAAAGATTGGAATTTTCTGCAGTCATGTTGGTTTTATAATATACTGTTTAAAAGTATATTATAAAACCAACATGACTGCAGAAAAATGTATGAAACGATGAACTCGAGATCGTGCCTCATTCGAACAGGCTGTCAAATTTCAGCACTTTCTTACTGCTTCTGGCGGCAGGCAGGTCAACGTTTGACTGACGTGAAATGTGGCCACTGTCTCTTTAATTTACTGCTTGTTTCCGTAGCTACGCCACAGCCCGCCTAAAGCGCCGCTGTGAGTTTGCCTCCCTAAAAATCTAAAAAGTTTTCACTTATCGGTTGCCAGTTTGTGAAGCCCCATTTTTGCATTTTCCTTTTGCAACCTACACTGGTTCTTTCAGAAAATGAGTGCAGGACCTAGCAGGAAGAAACCGAAAACTGTTTTTTTACCGTGTCAAACTCCAAATGCAACCACTTGATTTGCCAAGTAGCCATTGCACTTCCAAAGAAGGGGAATGTCGAGAGGCATTTAGAGACTATACACAGAAACTATGACGATGCCACTGAAGTGCATTAAAAAAGTTTCAAAGTTTTTAAAAAGGATAAGGCCAGCCTTTGCTTTCTTTTTTTTTAAAAGGTCAATCACAACGACCTAACCACTGGAAAAAGTAGATTTTAAGACACAAATGTATGGGCACCCCTGCTAGCCCATATAGCATTTCACATCAAACCTCTCTGAATGACTTTGTTTACATCCTACTAATTTAAATATTCAGAAGGTATAGGTGAGCACCTGTTTTGGGCCAAAATTAATCTCTTTTTTTAATCATTAAATTTCTTCTGGACTGGTCCTTGCAGCATCCCTTGTTTGGTGGTGATACACAGTGCTGCATGATGTTATTAGTCACCAAGGCCTCATCTGACTGGTGGGCCTGTGGAAAGGTCAAGTGACTTTGATGTTAAAGCGGCATCAATATATGTTACATATTAGGCTTTTAAAGCTATATTAATAGACCATATAGGCATTTGGTTTACTTGCATTTACAGTTATGGCATAAATCTGCAGATTAAAGATTGAAAAATACAGGAAAGAGGTCCTGCAGCAGAAAATATAAGGGGAAGGGTGGGGGAGTTATGTGGAACATGGCACCATTAATGATGTGCATCATAACAGGCTCCTTCTATAGACTTGTATTCTTCCATAGTTGAGTCTGAAGAAGTGCTTCCTTAGAGCTTACATCAGCGGCCAGCCAACGAGAGAGTGTTTGTAAAGAGCAAGGGAGGGGGAGAGAGAGAGAGAGAGAGAAATGTAGGTCAGGTCTATCACACATGGACTATTCTTACATGAAGTGATAGGCTGTGTCTCTCCCCTTTTGCCTGAGGAAAGCGCTCCCCCCAGCCCTCCATTAGGACCTTCAATAAATGTACATCCCTGGCCTGGCGCACCATTAAGGGGGGAGCACTGGGCGGCCTTTAGTGAGGGGGCCCACTCCGCCTGCCCTCTCTCTGGTGAACACACCCCATGCGTCTGTGTGTGTATGTGTGCAGGAAGAGCCCAGCCGTGCCTCGGCCCTGTGTACTGCCCATTATGGGCCGAATTGACCTCTGTCGTAAGTGAGGGTGTTCAAAGCGTCTGTAAGCGAATAGCATGTGTGCCACCACAGAACATTCCCATCACATTCTGAGACCCCTGAGTTCAGTCCAGTTCAGTCTTTAATTGTCAGCTTGGGTCATTGTTTTGATTGTATTTGATTGTATTAAACACATTCTGACGTTATTGCAAGAAATAAGCAGCTGTTTGGAGAATAGTTTAGTATTAAAGGACCTGTATCATGGAAATTGTCTTAACTTTTCTTAAATCAACCTTTATTTGAACCTTTATAGGAGGGATTGAAGAGGGTAAATATACATTTGTGGTAGTAAATATGTAGTGAAGAAAACAAAAGATGACAAAGAACTTTTTATTAAATAAAGAGTTTAAAATAAAGATTTTGATGCAGTATGACACGAAAAAGCAACACATTTACACACATCCACCTATAGCAGTTCAGCCCACCAATAGGAAGTGTTTTAGCCTGGGCTGCTTTTTGAATGAGTGAATGCTCAATACAGGGTATCCAATCAGAGCAGATGCCATTTACAACGGTCTTAAAGGCACAGTGACAAACAACCTGAGACTGAAAAATTGTTGTGTAAATATGAACTGTTTTGGTACATAAACCCACTCAGACATACAGAAAAAAGAATAATATCCAAGAAAATATATGATATGGGCCCTTTAATAGAAGATTTCTCATCATGGGCCTTATTGACCTTCATTGTAAGTGAGTATATTCAAACACATTCTGATGCTCCTAACTTCAGTTGTATCTTTTGGATTATCTTTAAATTTTATGAAATATTACAAAACATTTGAACTCCATTGCAAGAAATAAGCAGCCTTATGAAGATTGGGTTAGTCTTAAAGGGCCCATATCATGGAGATTTTTCCGATATTTCTTTAAAGTTTGATATATCCTGTAGATATTGTAAAAGTTTCAAAACATATCATTCACTCCCCAGTCCACACAGTTTGTGTATGGAAAGTACATTGCAAAAACAGTTAATTGTTTTTGTCATGCTTTTTTTTACACATATCCTCCTCCACAGCAGTTTAGCCCTACCTATTCTCATTGAAGTTATAAGAAATGTTTAAGCTTGGGCTGCTTTTTGAATGAGTCATTGCTCAATACAGGACATATATTAGTCTTAAAGGTGCAGTAACAAAAACAACCTGTTTAATTATAAGGGATGAAAAGAAGCAGTAAAAGTGTCATATAAAGAAGTTTTTGGTTACAAAAAATCTGGATGTTAACAAGAAAAAAATAAACTACAAAAATGTGGGATCTGGGCCCTTTAAAAGAAGAAGTTCCATAATAATAATAATGATCATAATTTTTATTTACAGAGCACTTTTCATGCTGGTGGCAGCTCAAAGTGCTCCACAGACAGTTGATAAAGCTAAACAGTAATACAAGAAATTATAAGCATTAATTTAGAATCATATAAGAAAATGACACAGACCAAATAAAAAAAAACACAACGAAACATAGAGCTTTAATTAAATGCTTTCATTTAAAGTTAATGAGACACATTTTTAGATGCTTCTTAAAAGTGAGCACTGAGCTTTGTCTAATAAAAGGTGAATTGAGCTCCACAGTTCAGAAGCAGAATAACTGAAAGAGTCTCTCCATGTTTTCTGTATTTTACAGAAGGTGTTTGCAGAAGGTCAGTATCTGCAGATCTAAGGTCACGTGAAGGAACATAAACAGACAGACATTCTGTGATGTAAGCAGTGCTTTAAGGTCATTTTGAGCCTTAAAAACTAATAGCAGAACTTTAAAATCTATCCTGAACGGTGCAGGTAGCCAGTGCAGTTCTTTTAAAACGGGAGTGATCTGATCTCTCTGTTCTGTTTTTGTTAGGATCTGTGCTGCTGCATTTTGTACGAGTTGTAAGGGATGTACTGTTTTCTTAGGAAGTCCAGTAAGAAGATCATTACAGTGATCAACTCTGCTGTAACAAATGCATGAACAAGTTTCTCTGCGTCACTCTGAGATAGAAAAGGCTGAACTTTAGTGATATTTCTCAAATGACAGTAAGCTACTTTAGTGACTGTGTTTACATGTGGGATAAAACAGAGCTCAGAGTCTAAGATCTCACCCAGGTTTCCTACTTCAGGTTTGGTATATGAAGCTAAAGAACCAAGTTTCTCATAAAGCATTTTTCTCTGAGTTTTTGTACGAACGATCATTATTTCTGTTTTTTGTGATTTAATTGTTAAATCACTGTTTAATTTCCCACAGATGGCCCAGAATAAAAGCTCATAGCCCAGACGTTTGTTTATAGTGTTATGCTATAAGACTAACACTGACAACACCACACCACACGGCTGTCTTAACAGGTCTTCCATTAATGTAAGATGGATTGGAACACTATTACTGAGAGAGCTTCAGGTTCATCTACTCACAGTAGAAAAATCCACTTCATATTATTACTTTCAGTTTTTAAAAACTACAAAAACTGCAGCAGATTTTACAGACTGGAGTAAAATCATGGATCTCATCTGTAATAACTTCAAATACTGAACGTCCTCCAATGAAACTAATACGGCCTCAGTAGGGCTTTAGACTTCTATCTTGTCTTAGGTGTCATAATGGAGATTACAGGTAGCAAGCTACTCAGATTGAAGCTACTGTGGCTTATGTGGCTGTGTGATGAGGTCAGCTGTAATTAAGGCTGGAGATTGATTCGGCCTAGCTCAAAGGATGCCCTAATCCCGGCCTAAGTGAAGCACCGAGCCCTGCAGTCTTTTTCTCCAGAGCCAAACATGAGTAGTTATTGACTGGGCACTGTTTGATATTTACTGCAGCGGCTTGTGTTTCGGAGCCTAGTGGAAGTGGTTTAACCCTGATGCTGTTTGCACTGCTGAGGCATATTCAAATGTTTCAGCATGTTCATGCACCCCTACTCATTTATGAAAGTAAGATGCAGTCATGAATATTTAAATTTGCTGTTCTTTATGCAATATGAAGAAAGGGAACTTTGGTTGTGTTGAAAGTCATACTGAAAGACTTCATGGCTGCTGAAGAACTTTCCATGACTTCTTAGGCAGAGATTTTTACCCTGGTTTTTGGATGGATTGATGCACGTATATGGACTCTATGTATTTGTACATATGTTTTGGTCCTCTGTTTGTGTGTGAGCGCTGTGAGGCGTTTGTTGTGCGTTTGGTGCAAAGGTATGTTTAGCAGGCTCGACCAAGCCTCGGTTCTTTCCAGCTCTGTTCCATCTCAGTCCGTTGCCCACTCATGCTTGGTAATTACTCATCATTTTAGCTGTCAGCAGCATCTCATAGCCAAATAAACACTGTCTGGCTGTGACGGCAGCTGTGCTTTGGGCCCATCTCTTATGATAGCTTTCATCCAGAACCAGAACCCACTGACCCGTGTGGACCTGCAGTGAGACCATTGTAGGATCAAACCTCTTATTGGAGTTTAATGGTATCTCTTGGTTCCACATATAGTTGACTTTTACCACCTGTTATCTGTCAAAGCTCCTGCTCACATTTTAGCTTACAATCCAGCTTTATTACAGCAGCCCACAAGGTAGGAGGTCATGAATTTTTAAAGCCAATTTTTTTATTTCTTTCATTTTTCCAGATTTTTGTTAGCCATTGTTTTAAAGCAACAGGAACAAAGAAAATATTGTTGTTTATTTGCTCATTACTTGAAGTTCAGACTTTGGGGGTTAATTGAATGCCCGGATATAAAACACAAATGCTAGTGGGTAGCATAAGGCTACATTCACAAGGTCATTATGGTATCTTTCAAAAACGCATCTCTTGCCATTGTTTTCAATGAAAGTGATGTATTGACAGACAGTACACACCAACACATGACCATGTGTGAAACTACTCGGACAGAACGCATCAGCCAATTGTAGGGTGGAGCATCAGGCAGTCATGTTGATTTTGAATAAAATACAGGAGATACTCATCGCCACGTGCCAAAAGTTTACACAACTTTTTTTTGTTGTTTTAACCAGCATTAATTGGTTTTTTGCTCAGGAGTTTTTTGTTTGAATGGGTTTCCCACTTACATTAGTCTCCACCTACAAACTCACCCACAGCAAACTAGAAATGCATTTTTTGTTGTTTTTTTTCATCTTGTGAATGAGGTGTTGGAACAAAACTTTATCACCAGTTTTGTTTTTGTGTTTTCCTTTTTTTGAGGTAATTTGCAAGTACCAGCTGCCCTTTATAGTAAGTGTGTTTAAATGCACTCAATAATCTGATCATAATCCGATTTCTGCGGTTATGTGATTGTTCAAATGGTCATGTAAACAGCACACTGCAATTTCTTGGATCAGAGTAAGGTCTAGAAATCCGATTAAGAAATCTGATAAAGAAAGCTGGATTTTAGCTCAGTAATCAGATTTCTCAGTGCATGTAAACTCTTACTCTGATTTCTTTCAGATTTCTCAGTCTGAGCATGTGCGAAAACAGACGGCGGTACCGGAAATAAACAAGCAGTGTTGCCACCAGACGCAGCAAAACTTTTGGAGCGCACTGAAACCAAATACATGCTTGACTAAATGAAGAATTAAATTTTTCCTCATCTTCTAGATGATGTATGTTTATATTTTCAGGTAAAGTGGCACGATGTTTTAAAAAAAGCTGCAGCATGAAGTTTAAGTTTTACATTATGTTTACGTCACGTCTTCTTCTGTGAGTTTTCTGACTGGTTGCAAAGCAGATTACTCAAGTGCATATAAACGCATTGATTGGATTACTGACAAAATATGATTTTCTGCCTTTATGGGATTATTAAATGAATGTAAACTCACTCATCGTGTTACAATTTGATGTTGAACGGATCAACAGAAATAATTCCAATTACTTGGAGTAAAATCTTGTTCCATTAACTTACATTGGAAGCTAAGGATATTTTTCCTTCTCTTGAAAAGTTGCCATCTTGGTGATACGAGGTTTTCCGTCAACTGCGATGATATGAGTACTCAGCTGGCTTGCGTTATGTCGTAGATTTGCCAGAATAAAATAACTGATAACACTGATTCCCGGTCACGTGCTAATATTATTATCGGCAGATTCCAGTCTTTGCCTATTCCAACGAGGCACCCTTCATACAAGGATTAGAGACTCGGCAAGATGCTGTGGGGTCGCAATGCTGGACAGTGGTAATGGTATTTGGGGCTCGTGTTTTAGTAGTAACTTATCACGATCAGCTTCTGTAGCCTACATTAATCATTATGTTCCTCATACGTTCCTGGTGATAAATATGCATAGTGGCTTGACGGGTTAATGAGAACGTTTCACTAATTCGAACGCCGTCTCGGTATGTGCGAAGCACGTTTCCGATGAGTCTTTTGTTTAACATATCGACACGTTTTTCTTCATCTCCACCTCGACCACTTTTTTTACAGCATGGGAATTAGTGGTGCAAATTTCTTTGCCAGACTTTAGAAATGATATGCAGCCAAAACTGTAATGGCACGCGCTCAGGGCAGTCTCTGGGCTAATTAAAGGCAAACATGTTGAAAAGTGGCACGGGGACGTGCTAATTACCGTTCTCTCGCAACGGCTGCAGTTTTTTTTTCCATTTTGTTTTTTTTTTTCCCCTTTCTCAGGATGTGTTACATCTTGGTCTTTCATTCTTCTTTCCTCCTCATTTTGTTCCCTTGACAATTAATTGTCATATTTCATATTTTCGTATTCAAGAAACTGTCATTCACACTCTTAATATATATTCAAATTTAGTGACGGCACTTTCTGGAGCAGCCTTTTGGGAGTGAGCTCTTTCTGTTTTTCTCAGGGTTGTAAGAATCCTGCTCTTTTTTTCTGTAGCTCCTTTTTTTCCATGCATGATGCTCTTTGTTTGGGTGCATTCACAGGCAGGGCCTTTTAAGACCATGCCATGTTTCACCTGAAACGACTTTACAGTTTTCTGTCTGTTAAGTGGCCTGGCGCTTCCTGTCCTGGCCTTGATGATCATGTGGTTAATATTTAAGCAGGCGAACGTTTGCTCCTCACACTTTCAGAGGTGCTGGGGGTCCGACAGCACTGCTCTCGGCCCAGGGTGTCCTCCACTAAGATGTTAAAGTGAGGGAGTCTGCACGCTCAGAAGAACAATGTACATTTACAAGGTTATTAAGATGTGGATCAGATTATTCACACATGTCTCACTGTCGTTACTACTAGAGCCTGACAAATAAAATTTTGTCACCAATACCGGGTAGTTTTAAATTTTAATTTTAATTTGAAATTGTAATAACTGACAATATCGACATGTGTAACTTAGAATGAAATGACCGTTTTGCCTTTTTATTTTATTTATTTATGTTTTATTTTATTTTTCCTGTTGAAAGTCTCATAATCCTGACTCTTCCTTCTCTGTCTGTGTGTGTGTGCAGCACATGAACTGAAGCAGAGATGGCCAGTTGATGCCTGTGTTACAGTGGAGGACATGAACTGGGACAGTGGTGAGTAAAGCTCACAGGTCCAACTGAATCTAAAGATACCAGACTTAACCTTGATCCAACCGTAACTAGTACAATCAATGACCAAATCAGCACTTTTACACACCTCTTATAAACCAGCCTACCTGAACAGCTGTGCCAGTCTCTGGAATGTTACTGGTTCAGATCCAACTGTTGTGGGTGTGAGTGGTCACTGTCCTGGCCTACTGCCGTTAAGCAAAGCTCTTTAACCCACTGCAAACCCCCTTTCTCTTATTTGTCTCTCAGAAATAAAGCTGCTGTAATATGTAAAAAAAAAAGTTGACTTTATTAACTATAAAAAATATCAATATATATTTTTATAGTTGATGTTTTAGCTTAAAAAAACAGCAACTGTAACATTGTATTAATGGACTATAACATTTGATATGTGCATTAAGTTGTAATCCACTTACAACACAAGGCTTTATAAGAAGAAATTGTTTGTGGCACAGACCACATCAAAGCTGCACTATGCAAGATTTTGGGATTTGGAGACCTCTTTGGTGAAAATGTGTAATTGCCTCTGACATGTGAAAAAACATTTTGTAGTGTAGTTTGTGCTTTGGACCCCTTCCCTGAGCGGATGAATCTGATGATTGCGAGCGCATTGAAAGAGAATTCAAAGAGAACTCAGTCAAAACTTGGTAAAGGATGTGTCTTCAGAGAATGTGAGTAAATGGTCTTCTATCATCATCATGTCTTCATCAGTATAATGTTGATTTTGCATCTAAGACATAAACATTCCGTCAGTCCTTCTTTTTGAGGCTGTGTGTGTGACATTAATATGTAGAGATATAAGACGTGGTTTAATAAACGCCCGCAAAGTCTGACATGATGCCTTTCATTTTTCAAGCCTTACAGGGTGATTCACAACAGCACACAGACACGTTTTTTTTTCCTGACTCAGTTATGCTGTTTCTTTCAATTTTAACAATAAAAAAAATCTTGCATAGTGCAGCTTTAAGTGATTGCAACAGCAAAAGGAGGTAAACCCAAAACACTAAGATGCACACAACTCACAGTTTGGGGCAATATGTGATATACAAAACAGTGATAATGTGTCACGGCAGCACAACAACAAAAATGCACAAATGATACAAAAGCACCAGCGTTTCAACAGTTTCTGCCCCTGCTGATATTGGGAAAGTGCTTTCAACTAACTAGCTTAAGTGGCTAAGTCAGCCCAGCAAAAGTAATGTTAGCCTACATGTTGGAAACAGAACATCTCAGGGCAAACATTTATTAAAATAAAGTCACATTTGTTCATGCAAGCTATAAACGTAGAGAAGTTTCATTCATAAACTTCTAGCCAATGATAGATCAGATGTCAATCAAGTCTTTTAAGACATGCTGCGCTCAGAATCATAAATAGTGACAATAGAAAACAGATAAATGATTATACATTTGCTAGAACTGAGAAAAAAGAAAAGGTGAAAAGTTGAAAAATAGAGCAATTTGTTGCAGTTATACTTTTGATTATGCAGCAAATGTAACTAAAAAATAAATGTAACATTAATGTAAACCAAAGGAGTTTAATATTTGAGATGATGAATTTTTAGAGTTGGGTTTCTTGTGCCATTATTTTAATTTATTTTTCACTAAAACAGGAACATAACTGTTGGATTAGTCTATTAATTGACAACAAATTGATAGAGTAACCACTTATAGAAGTAATTGGTAGTTGCAGCCCTAGAAAAAACTAATTTCCAGTGAGGCACAACAACAGACAATACAAAGATCTCCACAGATCTGGACTGCATGAAGATGACTTTTGGTACACAACAATAGCTGCTGTGCTCCAATCAATATTTCACCTCCTTTTCAGAGAATGAATGTTACTCCTACAGCTGTCGCTGTGGTGGGGAGTTTCACCTAGAAAAGGAGGAAGCCGAGGACGAAGACTCTGTGGTGTGCTGTGACACGTGTTCGCTCAGTATTGAAGTGAGGAGGTCTACGTGACGCCCTGTGTTTATGTGAGCATTTGTAAAGTTGCCTTACTATGTGATTTCTTGTATTCGTTCATGGGAAAGAAAATAAAAACATGGTATAATTAGGTCATAATTTTACAGACGTGTTTTTGATCTCATCAGAGTGATCTTTTTAATATGTTAAGTGGAAAATCTGGTTAACGGAGACCTTTAAAGAACTTTAAAGCTTCTGGTTGTGCTCTTATGCAAAAAAAAAGCTTTCATATTTATTGTTTTAATGTACAGTAGTGAAATTTGAACTTGTTTAATATACAATATATTATTAAAAAAAAAATGTATTTGTTTCCATTTTTTTCAACTGATTTTCATGAACTCTGTCCTTTCCCTCTGCTGGAAATATAATGGTAGATTTTCACATTGCTGTTGAAATGCTATGTTTTGGTTGTTGACCAAAATATAACGCATTAATTCTCATATAGGCCTGCTTTACAATAAGTACGTCATCAAATACCTCTTTAAGGAAGTGGGTCGTGTCTTTCTCTTTCCTAAAAGCCCTTAGGTCATTCCCTCTGAGCTACTTGTGCTCTTTTTCACAGACCAGACCAGACGCTAACCAGAGCAACGTGGCATTTTTCCCCAGCACCCCCCACACGCACCCCCCCGGCTTTGTAGGGACAGTATGGCTCAGTAACCTCCTAGCTCTTGTTAACTTTGTTTGCATGTAAATAAATGCGTTTTTCCCCTTCTTCACAATGAAGTCACAAACTGCCTCCACACTCCGCTAACAGAGACCAATCTTTTTTTCCCCTCTTATTGTCCCTCTTTTTCCCAATAATCAGGGGATCTGCGGGGTTACATCATTGGAAGAAGGTCACGGGTTGATTAAGACTTCAAACGGAGTCATTAGGCTGTTTGCTAAAATCCGTCCTCTCACAGAAGAAGCAGCTTGAGTGGAGCAAAAACCACGCTTTTCATCGGCGTCCCCTCCTCGCAGCCCGGGCCGAAGCTGGACCTGCCAGTGGGCCTGCAGCGAACCGAATCTTAATCCATACTGACATCAATTAGGGATAATCTCATCACTTTTAGAGAGTGGGCTTGTCAAAGCTCTAATTACGTCTGCTGTCCCCCCCTATATGTGCAGACAGGATCAACAACACATTGTAGTCCAGTGATGGGCATCATCGTGCTATTTTTGTGAGGGCCTAACTTTTCACCTGGTCTGCACTTTGGATTTCACACTGGATGGTGGACATGTCCTCCAGTTGTTTTGGGGAAGCGTTGTTGGCAACTAAATTGTAGAATATAATCATTTTAATAATTAAATTTTAAGCATTTTTTTTGCTCAGTAAGAGTCAGTTCACTTTTGTTCCTAGAGTTCAGTTTTAAGCCCTGTTTAGGTTGGATGAGATTATAAGGGGGACGTGTGCAGAAACATTTTTACACATCTCATCAATGCTAAAAGAACCGCAAGATAAACAAGTTTCTAATGGGCTGTATTTTCTTAGAACCCGTATATTTTCGTCCCACGCGGTCATATGATGACGCTCCATTTGCATCATGCACACTTAAAAAAGATGCTTCTTCAAGGGTTTAGTAAAGTAGATGGTTCTGTATGGAACCATGAACATTCAAAGAACCCTTTGCATAATTACTGGGTTCTTTGCATTGTGAAAGCGTTCTTCAGATTGATGAAGAATGTGCTGTAGATGGTTCTGTATAGAACCTTTTTGAAAGTGGCTCAATATTGCACCAAAAACCTTTTTCAAGAACTGTATATAACACATTCTCCATCAATCTGAAGAGCCCTTTAGCTATGCAAAGAACCCTTTAATCATGCAAAGAGTTCTTTGAATGTTCATGGTGCCATTATATAGAATTATATATATCATATAGAACCATTTTCTTTACTAAAGAACCCTTGAAGAACCATCTTTTTTAAGAGTGTGGTGTGCAAACTGTCAAAGAACAGGCACTGGACAAGAAAGAGAATATAAATAAATCTATGGATATTTCTTGAGATGTTAATGTAAGTATGTGCACTATGAGACCAATTATATCTGCCCAGAAAATCATGGAGGTGTGTATCCAGGCAGGACTAAAATTATCAGACCACCGCTGAGTTTGGTGAAAACCAATAGGTAATTTGGTCAGGAATTTTCTTTGGGGATTGAGGAGGGAGACAGTCACTGACATGGACAATCTGGACAGAAATAAAATCTGTACAGGACACCATGTACATTGAATCCTGTTGAAATTGGGCTTGGTTTGCTTTTGTTTTAGCACCCAGAACCCAAATCTGGCATCACCTTAGACCCAAGGCCAGAGCCCAACGGGTAATGCAGTGGAAGAATGTTTGCGATTTCTAATAAGCAATATTAAATATCCAGGAAGACCTTTAGAAATGTCCTGTGTCCAGTATTATTAATAGTTTTCTTGAACCAACCATTGGCTTGTTGCAGTATAGAAATTGCTATTTGAGTGGTAAAGAGGCATGAGACAAAGCGTCCTAATCTCAATTAAAAGTCCTATTTTTTTCACTCCTGCTCAGGTTGACTACTAATTTGGGATGCGACTGCTTCCTCAGAGCACTGCCTTTACAAAAGCCATTTGGATGTACTACCACTGGTACTAAAATAGTACTCAAAGAACAGTTTCACTGGCTATTACTGCAGAGCTAGCTACTGACTCAGTCTACAGAAATTGTGCTTGACACTGTTGGAACCCTGTGTTGACCACAAGCTCTGTCCTTTCTGCCTCAACACAGATCATTAGGGTAGGCTCTGTCTGATGATGCGTTTATCTTAGAATGAAGGCGATGCATCAGAAGCAGGAGCGCCTTGCTACCTTAGACCTATGCTCGTATATTCTTTCTGACAGACCATGGTCCAAAAAGTGCTTAGCACCCAGCACTGCGCAAAAGCCCCATTTCCACCAAAGTTAAGCGACTTTCTATTCCGGTCTGACCTGTCGCTGGTCTCTAGGGTATTCACCAGCTGTTTGCAGACTGCATTGTGTCCACTAAGAGCCAAAAGCATGAAATACTCTCCCATACATATGGCTCATATGTGCCCCCACAGGGACTTAAGCCCTGACATACCGACTTTCCTGAAGCATGAGTTAAGTTTGGAGTTATTGAGTTATGTACTGCACACCTGGCATTGAGACACTTCTACTATACTATACTGTACAATAATGTCAGATTTCTCTGTTAAAGCTGTCCAGCTCTTGGGCCAAGATGCACTGGTGCAAAGCTGAAAACCAGCAGAATATGCTAAATAGAATAATCCTAGCTTTGCTAGTGGCACTATGAGGGACTATAAGAACATGGTTGATACTGATGCTGTACTAGTGATCAATGCTTTTCTTAAGGGATCTGAGATTCACCCTTGGTGTAAATGTTTTCGTATGGTATGCTGACACAAGTAGGCCTCAAATTAAGTTCACTCAAGATCCCTTCATACTGGCGATTACCTTGTGGTCCTGCTTGCTCTAGAGTCTCTGGAGACTCTATGGTCACACTATAGCCCAACCTGATATTTATTTCTAAGGTCTTTTCCCCATAAGTGCATACATCGGTGCTGTGACTAGGCTTTCTTCCTTGACAAGCAAGTTTTTAATGCACTTTGTGTGCTTGACCACTGATGTGCGTCAAACAGACAAAGTACTGTTTGCCTCAGTGACAGGAATGAAGGTACTCCTCTGTCAGAATGAAGACTTTCATGAGCCCTCCCACAATGCAGTAAGGTTAGCGGTGCTACCTTAGCTTAATTTCATGCCAGTCTATTGCCAGTCCCTCAGTATCTGTGCAAAGGTTTCTGGAGGATGTCTTTCATGTGAGCAGGAGATTACTTTGAATGGCTGCATCACTAATCATGTCACTGTGCAACATAATTGGTGACTTAACCTGTGCCGGCCCATAAGGAGTATCACCTGTGCTCATGTGATAGTAGGAGTGAGGTAGCGGTGTTTGAGTCGTTCAAACATGATATATAAATATGTAAAGTATTTCATTTTAAAGCTTATCAACAATATCAGATCAGTATCAGTTTTAGCCGATACTGGAGGGTTTAAAAGTTGCTTCATGTGAGTCCAAGTCGGGTCTCAAGTCACTAGGGTTCAAGTGAGAGTTTCTGGGGCGCAATACCAAGTCGATTCTTGAGTCTCTGGGTTGTGAGTGCTGGTCGAGTCTCAAGTGTCTGGGGTGCAAGTGCAGGTCTCGTTATTAGCTGCAGGCTAACACCCCAACTAAAAACGTTCTGGTTTGACAAAGCTTCAAATAACGGGCCTTTCAGGAAAACCTTCACTCTGATGTCAGAACTGAAGTGCTACATGCGGTAAATGTAGTGTTTAAAGGAAAAAGCAAAACAATTTGAAACAGTTGGCTGGCAATTACTTTGTATAGCATCTGTGCTAGCTAGCCAGCGTAGTAGCCAATCCACCCAGCTATTTGGCTGGCATGTACTTTGTATAGCAAGTATGCTAGCTAGCCAGCATTATAAGTTTTAAAGAAATGTGATGTGTAACTTACAAAAACTTCAGATAGATTAGCTGACAACTTGGCACTAGAGCACTAGCTAGCATACCTATCTAACCAAACTACATGCTAGCCAACTGTTTTAAGTTGTTTTGCTCCTTCCTTTGAACACCACATTTACTGCATGTAAGCACTTTAGCTCTGTATGTCAGATTGAAGGTTTCTCTATGATGAGAGGCTCATTTTATGAAGGTATATTGAACCTGATGGTGCTATGAGCTGCGGGAAAACAACACTGCAGCAATGACTGTGCATGGCAGTAGGAAAACTGATGGACAAAGTCAAGCATGTCAGGTTGGAAACTAAAGGTTTTATGAACTAACCACAGTTTCAAGTCAGTGCATCATGCAGAGTCCCACTACTGTCATCATTATTGGAAATGAAAGGTGGTGTACCTCTACAGTGAAATAATAAAAATGCTAACATTGCTAGAAATGAGTGAAATTCAGCTGCCTACATTTAGCATTATATCATCATCTGTGCCAGCTTTCGTTCAGCCACAAAGCCATGT